GGAGAATTATTGAACCAATTAGCTGAGTGTAGGCAAACTAGGCCCACTGGCCAAATCCAGCCCTTAGCCACTTTTAGTTTAGTTCTTCAACTAAGAATGTTTTTTACATTTTGTTGAGAACTGTAAAAAAGAAGACACAACAAACAAACAGTTATCAGAGTCTATTAGGCTCCCAACACCAGACACTCAGTGAAAGTTTGCCAACCTCTGATCTAGGCTAGACAAAGTTTATATACAAAGTTTAAGGTATTAATATGTCAAAGTAGATGCATTCTTCTTCCAGTGATGGACTCATCATGACACAAACTGTTCTTGTCCATTAATGCCTATTTTTCCAGCAATGCCTATTCCTCTTTTGAACAGGCCTTGCGGCTGGATCTCTGCTAAGCTTTCTTTCCTACTTCCTCCTAATACCTGTCCTTGGATGCTCTCAGATGGGTCATTTTTAAATCCAACACTGGCTGTTAATCTCTTTTGGAATGCCTTTCCCTTTGCTACTAAATTCTTCCCAAATGTCAAGTCCTACTTCCTCCAATTGCCTTCCGTAAGTGTGCTAGCCCTTGTTGTTTGTACTGCTGAATCAAACGTGACTCCCAGCACCCTTATGATTAACAGATCGGAACCCTGCCTTATCCTGTGTCATCGTCATCATCTGTGACATAACTGAGTTCACTGCTATAATCACTGTGTCAATTCACCTCATTGAGGGACTCCTGTTTTCTCTTTTGCTAACTTTCTACTTTTCTAAGCATGAGTTCACTCTCCAAGGAATAGCCTTTGCTAGCAACATTATCAAATTAACTGAGATGAAGTATCAACAACATCTTTGCCTCCATAGAGCACTCTGGCTGCACTTCTCCAAGATCTATCTGCTTGCTCTTTTGGAAGTCCATGTGGTATTTTTCGTCTCCAATATCACCACTCAAAGATTCTTTTTCTGGCATCCTTATTCATTATCCAGCTTTTATAGCCACAGCAGAGGTGACTGAAAGGACCATGGCTTGAATGAAGTGTACTTCAAACTGTTATCACTGCTCATGCTGTAATATGGAGAGGTTCCTGATAGCAAACTTCCCCATTGCAATAGATCTTCAGACTGCTGGCAGTGAGGGTGTTGATTGTGGATCCAATTAAGATTTTCTGTCCCCCTAGATGTTTAGATGTGATCCATATTGAAGGCAGTAGTCTTTGATTTTCTGCAGCAAGTGTTTCTAGCCCTCAGTAGCCTTATTTTCCTTTTAAATTAGTACCACACAATATAATACCATTTTATAGTTTTGTTAATGATTTCTTGTATTTTAGTCAGGTATCTCCAAGCAACTTACAAACTACATGAGGGAGGGGATACCCACATCACACAACCTTTGTATCTTCACTTTAATACTTCAACATTTACTGACCATCTTTACTTTGAGATACAGCCCAAAGGCTGGCTGTTGTGTATTGTTCAGTCAGAACTGACCCACTGCAGGCCCTCCAGGGGGTTTTCAAGCAGCAGTGAACAAAGGATATTCCCCATCCTCCTCCTGCAAAGAAGCTAATGGATTCGAATGCTTACCTTTGTATTGGCAGCACAATTCCTTACCACTAAGTCATCAGAGCGCCATTAAAGGCTGGTAGTAAGTGGTAATACAATACTCATTGACCTCTAATCAGAACTAACTCATAGCTGACCCTCCATTGGGTTTCTGAGGCTGTAAACTGTATGGGAGAAGAATGTTTTTCTTCTTCCTATGTTATCTCTGGTGGATGTGACCACCAGAATCAAAGGATTATGCCCATAAAGAAACTTGTTAGGAAATCACAGACTACACTGAAGATAGTATCTATGAGAGAAAAGCACAAGTACAGCAGTGGGAGGGTACAGAGATAAGGATCAAAGGATAAAGACAAATATTATGAAATAACGCAATAAGAGCATTATAAAATTATAACATCTCACAATATATTTTTTAAAAGCTAAACAGAAACAAAATTTGTCTTTCAACTAATCCTTAATTTACTTTTAACAAGTTACGGTTAACAATAAAGTCCATTTCTCTCTCTCTTTTTTTTTTTAATGGAAAAGAAGTTTATTTACCCAAGAGCACTCCATTAGAGTTCTAAGAGGTCCCCGGGCCTGGTTAGCAAAGAAACTGGCCGAAAGACAGTTAAAGGCTGTAAAGAGAAAGAAGTCATCTGAGAGAGCTGAGAACAAGTCCCTCCTCATGGGATGAGACAAAAAGGTCCATCTTCCTTTTTTTGGCACTGTGATAAACTGAGGAACTAAAAAGGCTCAATCGAACAAGTCATGCACAATGGTAAAAATCTTTAAACTTAAAATACAGGTAGTTTCCAGAATATGAATGAGTTCTAATCCTAAATCTGTTTTAAATAATATTTATAAATAAACTGGAAAAGTGAGGTCGGCATTACTGACATCTAACTTTAGCATGTCAAAGGCTTGTCTAAGTATAGATAGTGTACAGTTCTAGGCATTAAAAAAATTAAATATTGTAGATACACTAAAAGATAGCATCACAAAACAGTCATAATAATGTTTTGATGCCCGTCTCAAAAGTATTACTTCTTTTTTATTACAAACCACTGAATGTTGAATATAATGGGTTTTATAGGATTGCTTCTAAACAGCCTTGTACAGAAAATCAGAGGATTAGGACATTCTTAACCAAGGGACTGCTTGTGTCGTTAATTTAATCTACTTGAGTTTGTTAAAAACAAACAAGCAAAAATCAAGCACTCGTATTGATTATCTAATAAAATTGGAAAGCATGTCTAATAAAACAGAAAAGACACCAGCTTGATTAATTTACATGAAAAAACTGCTTCAAGAACATTAAAAAGAAAAATCTTTTTTATTCCTTCTCAAACTATATTTTTAAAATATAAAATAGAAGATATAGAATTTCCAGAAGCAGTAATGTAAAAAAAATACATAAACATTTTAAAACAATTATATTACTGATGAACATAAACCAAAAATAAATTATAAATTAAATGCTGTTTACCTAATCAAAGCTATAAAAAATTAGAATAAATCATGCATCCCATGTTTCTGAGTTCCTTGTTGATCAGAGATTTATTTTCCTTAATTGTAATAAAATATTCTTAATGTTATACTTCAGACATTTTACAAGTAAAAAGTAATCATTACATGTATATATAATAAAAATAAAATGCATTAGCTCTCAATTATTTAAATGACGAGAGGACATGCATGATGAAACATATGCTGAAGAAAAAATAATCATAGAATCTGGGTTTTAAAAATGCATTATCATTACTTGGGAGAAGGAAATTATTATTACTACAATTAAGCTTGAATGAAGCCAGAGTTAACCAGGTTATTTTTCCTCAATGATTCAGAGGATTCACACAAAAAGAAAAGGAAAAAAACGGGGGAGTTGATGTAGAAGCACACAGGTGGCAAAAGGCAAACAGCCCAGGACAGAAAAAATTGCCCAGAGGTAAACAGTACATAGTAATGAAGGACTAATCTATGAAGAGAAAGGGCAAAATATCATTAAATGAATGTGACAGTGCTGAATTCCGCCCCCAACATAAAAATTTTAGTTAAGATTTCCTGTCAAGTCATCACCCTTTCTTTTCACTAATTGGTGTGGCTGGACACAGCAACACCTTGAGTGGGTTACAACACAAAACGCAAAAATTACAGTTTATACTTTGTAAGAGATGTGCTAAAAAGGTTTCTTTATCACAGTTTTCTGTTCGTTCCACCATTTGTCTCCGTGAGATTATTTCACTACTCGGAAAAATGTAATATTTCCCTCACTACTTGAGGGTAATATAAAAAGGCAGAGGGATTAATGTCTCTTGGAGGTTTTTAGTTAAGAGAAAACTTACAAGGCAGCAAGAATGACAGGTTTAGCAAACAGGCAAACACTCAATATACAAATAAAAGCTCACAGCCACAAAACGCACTCCTTTCTGCCTAACATATGGCCCCAACTCCTGCGTGACATATGTTTAGTACTGGCGCTGCGCACAACAGCACGGCCATAAAATAACAGAGTAAAAAAAGTACTTTAGCCTTCAATTGCTCTCCTATCATTCTGGAAATACAGAAAATACACCAACTTCGGTCTCAAGAAGAAGAACAACAACAACAAACCCCCCAAAAAACAACCACCACAGAGTAACAGTAAGAAACCAAATAACGGGGCTGCGCCGTTTAAAAGTCCATACAGGGCTGTTAACATTTAAATTAAAAAAACAGAAAACAAACAAACAAAAAAAAAACCAAAACCCGTCAGCCTGCTAGTCTTCCCGGACACCCAAAGACGCCCCAAAGGAACGTGCATAATAAAATCGCACAGAGAAGAAACCCTCCAAGTCTCGCGTCCGCGCACCGCCAACCACGCGCCCCCCCCTCCCCCGACTCCGCAGTCGCCCAAGGCTTTTTAACAACAACAGTCATAAAAGACGAAAATTGAACAGCCGCCGCGATTAACGGCTACACGAGGGGTCGATGTGCCTTTACCTAACACACCAGGTCCTCCCAGAGTCGTGCGGAAAGTTCCCAGACCCACAGTGTCCCCGGCCGGCAGCGTCCGGCAGCCCGGACGCGAACAGGTGGTTAGCTGGCCGGCGGGGAGCTGCCAGGTATCCGGCAGCCAAACAGGACCAGACCGAAGGGCGGGTTTTCCCAGGGTTTAACCCCAACAGGAGCGGGACACTCTCTCTGCGCGGCGCCGCCGGGGTGGGAGGGCCGCCTGTGTTCCCCCCACGGTGGCCGGCAGGCTGGGACACCCCCCACCCCCGCCCGGCCACGTACTGCAAGCCCCTCCCGCAGCCCGGCTGCCGCAGGTGCTAGAAGTCGGCGGGGCCGGTCCCCCGCGAGCCCGCAGCGCGCCCCGGGACGGCTGGGCCGGACCCCTCGACGGGGCCTGGTCCTCGGGCGCCCGGGCCCCCGGAGCCCCAGCCTAACGGTCCCGGGCGGCTCTCTCTACCTCGGCCGACGGGGTGCCCCGCGCTCTCACCTCCGAGGCACGCCACTCCGAGGCAGGGGGAGGCGGCTCCCCTGGCGCCTCTTCTTCGGGTTCCCGAGATCGTTCTCTGTTTACTCAGCCGCAGAGCCAGCTCTGGGGCCTCCGCGGCTGCCGACCCGGGGCTGGTTTCCCGGCAGTGACGGCGCCGCCTCAGCCCCGCTCCCCGCTCCCTCTCCGCGTAGCTCCCGCTTTCTGTTTCACCCGAGGAACCACAAACGCCGCTGCCGCCATGCTTACTACGGAGCCGGGAGGAGGAGCCCGGAGCCGGAGCCCCGAGTGCGGCTGCGCGAGTCCCGCCGACGGCACCCCCGGCGCTCGGACCCCAACCCCCGCCCCGCGTCGGCTCCCGCGCCCGCAGGCTACGGTGCTCCGGCCGGGCTCTCCCCCCGAGCTCGATGCTCCCGAGGCGGCCGGGCTCTCCCCGAGCGAGCGAGCCGGCGAGCTCAGGGCGCGGGCCAGGCGCGCGCGTCCAGCGCCCTCCTGCCACCCAGCCCTCTCCAGCCGCTGCCCCTGCTACGCCGTCGCCGTCGCCGTGGCCGGGATCCGAGCGAGAGACGCTCGGAACATGTGAAACAATCGACGTTTCTCAATGCAACTTTTCAGAGGCTCCCTGTGAGCCGCACCGCGCCAGCCTCTTCCCGAACGCACCCCAACTTAAAGCTGGCAGGTGCTTCTCCAGACATCCCCCTACTACCTGAAGGGGGCTGGAGTGTTTTTTTTTAGTCCCAAACGTTTAGAGCCGGAGGTCTCTGGACAAGATGACACTAAGATAGTTACTTCAATTAAAAACGTGGAGCTAAGTTTGGGGTTTTTTTTGGGGGGGTCTATTTTCCCGTCAAATTGCGTGGAAACCCATTACCTTCCTTCACGGCACCGCGAAGCCTCGAGAGCGAACGCGGCGGAGGTTCCCTTCACGCTCGGCCGGCGGGGGGCGCTGTGACGGTGTCTGAGGTCCGGCGGGCGGCGAGCTGGTGCACTTTCCACCGGAAGACCTGGGGAGGGGGCAGTCCTCCTCCAGAAACTGTCCTTCACAAACGAGGATGCAAGTGACTGAGCTCCATGCTCTGGCTTCATTTCAACCTATTAGCAATCAGGCTGCCCTTTAAAACAGCAATATCCCCCTCCCCCTCCCCCATTTAACCACTTTACTTTTTTTTTTTTTTTAATATACCTTTCCTCTACAGTCTCAGCGAACACAATGGTTAATGGGATCCTTTGTTGACCACTGACCACATCGAGGGATAGCTTGGTGGGAGGCTCCAGTCCCTGAGGGTTGCTGAGGTATACAGAACCCGCCCTTTGGTGCTTGCTGCTTCTTTAGAAGGTTCTCATCACCTTTTCTAGTATCTGTCACTGCGCGCTCTTACTTCTTCTCATCCCATCTGCCTCTTAAGCCACTCTGATCTTTCCTCTCATTCTCTCTGCTTCACAGTTTGGTGGGGGTTTGCCCCCTCCTCTTTTCTGCTTTCTGTGCTGCTTTTCTTTGTGGCTCCAGGTGATGAGTGAATCCAAATTTACATCCAAAGCCAGCTATTAAGGGATTCCTTTTCTTCCGGTCAGTGAATGTGAGTGACTATATATCAAGTTGAGATAGTTTCAGTGCTCTTCACTCTCAAAAGTTCTTTCCCTCAGAGAGATGCTTCCTTTTCTTAAGCTTCCACATTTGGCCCTCTTCCAAACAAATTTGCTGGAACGCTGATCCCTGAATAACCAAAACATGTTTTAAAACACAAGGATTTTGTTATCGAGATGTATTTTTATTTATTTGTCAAGGTTGAGGGCCATCTTCATCTTGCTGCTCAGTTCTATTTTGTCTGAGACTAAGCGAGTGCTTCCCAAACCTGATGTAAACTACCAACTTTCAAAGCTTTTCCTTTTGTTGTTTTTAGATGCCATGCAGTCCACTCCATCTTCTAGCAGCCCTGTGTGCAAGAAATCAAAACTCTGCTTCATCCGGCACCATCCTCACAATCTCCACTGTGCTTAAGTCCATTGTTGCAGTCACCTTGTCAATCCATCTGGTTGAGGGTCTTGGGGAACTATCAAAATACAAAATCCTGCAATTCATTCCCTCCAGCTTCTGGTTCCTTTTTGTTCTAGGGTCTTCTTTCAGTTTCCAAATGTTTCGTGACTCAGAAAGCCCTGGGAAGCCCCTGCCCTTCTTTGTAATTAAGGCGTTATCTTCTACCTACTCTTCAAGTCTTATAGTCCTTAAAGAAAGCATTTTCTGACCTCCCAGAGAAGATCAAGACTATAAATACCTGCTCTCTTAGCACCATGTACCCTTCTCTTTTATGATTTACCACCGCTTGCAGTTATATTTTGGAGTATGTAATATATTAGGCTAACAGCTATTGCTCCCTACAAGAGACAAGGGTTATGCCTATTTTTTGTGTTCACAGTGTTTGGAATATAGATGTTGCGCAGTAAATACTACTCACATGCTGTTCTTTGAGGCCCTTCCCAGAATTCTAGAAGGTTGTAGGATTGTACAATTAGAGATCACAGATCACTTTTGTCTCACATACATTGACATGTTGCTGGGAGAGGCTATTCTGTGGAGAGGGACATAAGGCTTGGAAAGCTGGAAGGTCAGTGAAAGAGGAAGACCCTCAACCAGATAGAGTGACACAATGATTGCAGCAAAGGGTTCAAATGTATCAGAGATGATAAGGATGGTACAGGACAGGATGGGGTTCACATCTGTTGTTCATTGGGTTCCTATGAGTCATACTCAACTCACCTAACAAGAACAGTAATCAGTTTCGACAGCCCAATCTTTGTAAGATTAACAAGAGATGCAAGAATATTAGATCATTTTCCATGGGCCTCTCTAACTTCTTCTACACATCTTTCTCGCAAAGGCACCAGACTATCTTGTCAAGGATATTTGCAAGGCCAAGAGCCTTGGAAAGATAATGTCTCCCATTGGAGCATAGGATAGATTTGTTAACCATCCACCCGAAGGAAATATCTTTATCTATGAAGGAAAGATTGAATAATTTTTATTATAGCCCATTATAAAAGATTGTGAGTATCCTAAAGTTGGACATTTCTTAGCTATAATGCAAATCCACCAAGCAGCACCCAGCTGGGCTTCCCTGTGAGGCCTAGGAAGTAGGAAGAATGGTCAGAATCAAATAGTTCATATTGTTTATTGTACCATGAGTAACCTAATCCAGGAACCCAAGAATCTCCAGTTTTATTAGCATCCCTGTCCTGTAGAGGGTGAAAGCTGGCTGCTCCTCAGAGGCAAAGATTTTGAAGCTCCGTCTCACATACTTTGGGCATATTGCCTGTAGGGACTGGTCCTTGGAAAGGGACAACAGGCTTGGAAAGGTGGAAGGACAGTGCAAAAGAGTAAGACCCTAGCTAGATGAGATGAACTGACTCAGCCTCTGGGGTAATGGGGTTAGGTTTGTTTGAGACAATAAAATTGGCTCAAGAAAGAGCAGGGTTCAGAGCTGTTGTACACAGGGTCACTATGAGTTGAAAGTGACTTGAGGACACATAACTGTAGCAAGCTATGTTTTTTGCATACAAGAAAGGTAATAATTCAGATCGTTCACAACATTTGACAGAATATAGTAGGTTAAGATCAGGGTGAAGATGCCAAACAGCAAGTTGTTGTTGTTGTTGTTGTTATGTGCCGTCGAGTTGCCTGTGACTCATAGCGACCCTATGTACAACAGCCCTAAACTCCGCTCTGTCCTGTGCCAATCGCACTGTCTCTGACACTCCCATCCCAATTATCCCAGTCACTGAATCAATCCACCTCATAGAGGGCCTTCCTCTCCTGCGCTGTCCCTCCACCCTCCCAAGCATGATGTCCCTCTCTAAGGACCAGTCTCTCCTCACAACATGTCCAAAGTAAGTTAGATGGAGCCTCAGAATCCTTGCCTCCAAGGAGCCACCCAGTTTAACCCTCTCCAGGACAACTCTGTTTGTTTTCCTAGCAGTCCATGGTATTCTCAATACTCTTCTCCAGCACCACAGCTCAAAGGCATCAATTCTCCTTCTATCCTCCTTGGTCATTGTCCAACTCTCTGATGCATAACAGGTGATTGTGAAGACCATGGCCTGTATCAGACGCACCTTAGTCTCCAGAGAGACACCACTGCTCTTCAGCACTTTGGAGAGGTCCCTAACAGCAGACTTTCCCATGGCAATGCGCCTTTTAATTTCCTGGCTGCTGGTGCCAAGACTGTTGACTATGGAGCCAAGCAAACTAATGCTGTGTACAATCTCAATCTCTTCACCATCCATCCTGATGCTGCCAATTGGTCCAGTGGTGAAATCTTTGTCTTCTTGACATTGAGCCTCAATCCATATTGTAGGCTGCAGTCCTTGACACTCTGCAGCAGGCGCTTCAGGTCCTCCTCAGTTTCAGCAAGCAGGGTTGTGTCATCTGCATAACGCAGATTGTTGATAATTCGTCCACCAATCTTGACCCCACATTTCTCCTCATAGAGCCCAGCCTCCCAGCGAGTAGTTACTTATATTTTAAGAAGTTTAAAGCCACCAGATGCTCTGCTAGAGAAGGGGAGGGGGTCAGTCTCCTCCTGTGCCAGGTGGATCTGACTTGATGGTACACAACAAGGAAAAGAAAAAAGAGATTAAATACCCAGTTTGGCAAGCTCTGGTGGCCTAGTAGCAAGAAGATGTATTGCAATCCCAGAGGTGCGTGGTTTGAATCCACCAGATCATCTGCTGGAAAAAGACGGACAATCTCCTCCTGCACCAGTCAGATCCAATTTGACAACACACACACACACACACACACACACACACACACAAGTTTATATAAGGGGAAGTTTGGTGATGAACCAAATAACAGGGAAGGGAAAGGAAATTGCGAAGGAGGGTTGGATGACTGGATTATCTGAGCTAGCAGGGTCTGGTAGTTGATCTCGAGGCAAACCAGTTAAACAGCAGACAATAAACTACACAGATAAAGCAGGTGTAGGCCACCGGTTTAGCCAGATTCTATAGAGGTTTGGTTTCTGGTTTCTGGGGAGGATTGGGTGAAATGATTACTGCCATTGGGTGTGAGTTGATTGTATTCTGCCTCCTGTTGAAAAAGACATCTGGGCCTTTGGGCCTGGTTTTAACTGTTTTTGGTCAAGCATTCTTTTAAGTGGCATAGCACTAGTCTGTCCATTTGTTGTACAAAGGTAACTTGTGGTTGCTGTGATGCTGAACACTGTGATATTGGCGTGTCAAACGTGAAAACGGTTACTCATGGTGGACA